GCGGTAATGCACTTATAAGTCTGCGATCCGCCGTAAAGCAAGAAGAAGAAGAAGACGTGTCACGCGCCGGCTGTTGAGAACACGCTCAGGACGCGCTCAGAACAGTTCAGACATTGCAGAGCATCAGAGGTAAAAAAACGATATAAATACTGTTCAGTTTCTTGCACAGACCGATCGTTTCGTGTCTTTACACATCCCAAAGAGAAAGGAAAACTTGAAATCGCATCATATGACCCCTTTAATAATAATCTAACATACAACGTTAGTTAGTCATTGTCCCTAAACTAGTTTTGATATAAGAAAGGATTTAGCGTGTCAGTTAAAACATACATACAGATTGAAGGTCTCCCTCCCTAAGGTGTATCGCAGGGAAGGGCTGCTATTTTATACGCACCTGGACAAATCAGTTCTCTGTGCCCACTGATTGGCTCAATCGTGCCATTCTGTCCTGCTCATCCAGTTTTAGCTATACTGTTATTCTGTTATTTCCCATCCCACAGTTGTGTCCACAGCATTCTGAGTTGTACACACAGCTGGACTGTACAGGACAATATGCTGGCTGTTCTCTTCATTCTTGGGACGTTGTATCCCCTAAACTTTGCAGGTAAAAACATTTTTATGGCTTCAAATTACTAAAACTACTTTTTGCGTAATATTTGTCAGTAAACTATATTTAAATACTTTTAATAAGAGTTTTCTTTATTCTAAGGTTTTAATTATTATTATTATTATTTTTTTAGAAATACCAATTAGACTGCTGGATACTAAAAACGATGGTGTGTTGTCGGGTGTATTCCCAAACGCTTTTCTGCTGAGTCTGCCTAACTGCTCTGTTTACGGAAACATGAGCGCTACACTGCTGTACACAGAAGTGCCCTCCAATGAAAGCAGTATGCATCACTTTCATCCTCAGTGTGGCTCACATGACATTAATGTTTACATGGCATTGTTTAAATATGAAGCATTATGACTTATGTGTCCTGCAGAAACAGAGACTTTCCCCGTTCCATCTTGTAAGGTCAGTCAGCTGGGGTTCTTTCTGCAAAACCTCAAAAATGGAACAACATACATGTAAGTGTGTGCTTGTGTGGCGTGTACGGGTTTGTCTCATATATCAGCTTTTGATTTAAATCAAATAATGTCAGCAGGTTTCGATGAGGTTTTTATGGATATGGTGTAGCTATACACTGTAGTAATTATCATTATATTATTACGGAAACCCTTTAATCCATGGAAGTTCGTCACTATAATGTCTAAGGTCTCTCAGTGTGTGTAACCATCTCTCAACAAATCAAATCTCATTAACAACCATCTTAATTGTTCATGCTCTTTCAGCATGCAGTACCAAATTGCAAATGAAACA